ATTATGTTGTATTTTTACCATTTGACAACTGAATCTCTGAGCACCTTGAGGCTATAGGTTCATTTCTTCCTCTGTGGCTTCTGCCCCAATGATTACTCCCATTTCTCAACTGGCCTTTGCTGGGATTCAGCATTTGTTCCCCTGCCTACACCTTGTGTGCTACACAGTTCATGCTTTAATTTAGATGTAGATTTTTCTGTGCCAGTCATGAATAATGAAAAGGTCTCTTCACACATGTGCAGACAAGTGTGTCATCTTTTGATCATAATTTCTTCACTTGCCTAACACATCAATTGGTATTACAATGACAGCTCCTTGAATCCAGTGAGTACTAGAAAAGACTAATGGGCAAAGAGCAGAACTGAAATTATAAATAAGTGAAATCTGATGGTTTTAAATAATGTTCAAGCTGTGTCTCAGGCCAACAGAAATTGCCAAGAAATGCATACTGCAGATTGATTCTTCCTTCTTTATTCTGTATTGCACTATTGAGGAAAAATAAGATGGTTAAGGGCACAAAGGAACTTAGTGGATCTTTGCTGAGTGCTGTAGTACCTAACTAACCTCCAGGTTCTAGCACCCAATGTTTTCCTGTGAAGGATAATGACAACATCAGCCCTTCAGCATATATCACTCAAATTGAAGTGACCCCAGGCTGACCCAGCTTTTTTTCTACACATTCTAGATAGCTGCGAGAAGAGCTGGTCATCCTGTTACCTAGTGTGTTTGGGGGTCTATAACAGGTATCAACTAATGGCCCATGTTTTAGTTGATGGAATACTGATTCATCAGCACTCAAGCATTTTCTTCTGAGTTATCAGTGACTTGGAAACAAGTAATGTCATTTCTGACACAGTGCCACCTTGCCTCCTTTTTTACCCACTCAATCTCTCCTAAATAGGTTATAACAATTGATTATTTTTTTTAACATTCCAATCATGGGAATCATCCCACCAGGTTTCACTATTGCTGCATAGGCAATTACAGAATTTCTTCTCCATTTACTTAGGTTCCTTGTTGAATTTTATTCTCCACATCCCAATTTTGTGCTAAAGTGAACACTCATATCTGTCCTCTTTTTACCTCCTCTTTCTGTTATTAGTTCAGTGCCATCCTGACTATTCTAGCCAGCATGTCCCTGAGGAGATTAGTCCTCTTCCTACTGAGGTGGAGGCTATCCAAACCGTTCAAGCCCCCTCTCCACATAGGTGAACCAATGCTCCACCAAACCAAAACTATCTATCCTACATCAGTTACCTAGTCAGTGGTTCAGTTCCAGAATCTTCTGCTTTCTGTCCTCCTTCATGGGAAGGATCACAGAGAAGACCTCTTGAATATTCCTCTTCTTCAGAACACTGTTGGGCTACGTCTAGACTGGCATGATTTTCCGCAAATGCTTTTAAAAGTTTTCCATTAAAAGCATTTGTGGAAAAGCGCGTCTAGATTGGCACGGATGCTTTTCCGCAAAAGCACTTTTTGCGGAAAAGCATCCATGCCAATCTAGACGCGCTTTTCCGCCAAAAAAGCCCCGATCGCCATTTTCACGATCGGGGCTTTTTTGCACAAAACAAATCTGAGCTGTCTACACTGGCCCTTTTGTGCAAAAGCTTTGTGCAAAAGGACTTTTGCCCAAACGGGAGCAGAATAGTATTTCCACAAGAAGCACTGATTTCAGACAGTAGGAAGTCAGTGTTCTTGCGGAAATTCAAGTGGCCAGTGTAGACAGCTGGCAAGTTTTTCTGCAAAAGCATTTGCTTTTGCGGAAAAACTTGCCAGTCTAGACACAGCCTTGAGTTCCCTGAAATCATCTTTCTGAAAGATATCCCATGACACAGTGTTATCAATGCCAATATGAGCCATCACCAGTGAATCATTTCCCATTGACTTCAAAAGCTTATCCAACCACGGAGTGATGTCTTGGCTCTGGGAGCTCAGCACATTGTCATGTTTTCTGCCTGTCCTTCGCAGAATGTTCTTTTGATTCTTCCGAGTATTGAATCCAAGCAAGGATTGTCTGTCCTCCGTGCATGGCTAAAGAAATGTTTATGGAGAAACTTGATTTTCTTACAAGTTGGGCTGTGCTGTCATCTGTGGGTTAGCCTCATACTTTTCCCTGTTCTCTTGGACCATCTAGATCTTGAACTATCTTCCATAGCTTCCACACTGAAGACCTGGGCTACGTCTAGACTGGCATGATTTTCCGGAAATGCTTTTAACAGAAAAGTTTTCCGTTAAAAGCATTTTCGGAACAGAGCGTCTAGATTGGCACGGATGCTTTTCCGAAAACATACTTTTTGCAGAAAAGTGTCTGTGGCCAATCTAGATGAGCTTTTCCGCAAAAAAGCCCCGATCGCCATTTTCGCGATCGGGGCTTTTTTGCAGAAAACAAATCTTAGCTGTCTACACTGGCCCTTTTGCACAAAAGTTTTGCGCAAAAGGGACTTTTGCCCAAACGGGAGCAGCATAGTATTTCCGCAAAAAGCACTGATTTCTTACAGTAGGAAGTCAGTGCTTTTGCGGAAATTCAAGTGGCCAGTATAGACAGCTGGCAAGCTTTTCCGGAAAAGCAACTGATTTTCCGGAAAAACTGACCAGTCTAGACACAGCCCTGGTGTTAAATGGAAACTTCATGTTTCTTCCTAACTGATTCTCCATATTTTCAAATGTTAGGGTAAGTCTACACTGCTCATGTTACAAAGCTGTTGCCACAGTGCTGTAATGTGGACAGTGTAGCCAGTCTTTATCGCTGAGGGAGAGTTCTTCTGGCAATTAAGAAACCCCAACGAGAGGCAATAACTTTATTGCTGGAATTGCATAACCCAACAACAAAGCACTGTCTATACTGGCACTTTTCAGCACTAAAACTTTTATCGTTCACACCCCTGAACAACTAAAGTTTTGATTGTTGAAAGTGGCAGTGTAGACAGAAGTTTGGAAACATCTCTGTTCTCTTCACCTGTCTCTCTTAACATCTCTCCCTCTCCCTTCCTGCTGTTGTTTGTTGTGTAAAACTGTGTCTGTTATTTAACTTACTAATGTATTTTAGGATACAGTTTCCATGAAAGAGACTGTGCAATAAAGCTGCATGGAGATATTGCTTCAGTGAAGACAATTCTACTATGTCTCTTGGCAGCTTTTTCTATTGACTAACCATCCATAGCTTTATAAATATTTTAAATAATACTTCACCTAATTATTTCCTGTTGCCTTTTAAACCCATTTCTATATGTTATGTATGTTAAGGGGAGATTATATAAATTGGATAATTTGCAGGGCCATTGTTCTTACACAACTTATCTTTGATCACTTCACCTGAACTTTACCCACTAATCTATCTCCCGTGGGACTTATACCAACTTTCCCAAACTCTAAACATCTTCTCTCCAGGCATTGCTTCTCTCACATCCATATCTATCCTGGGCACATACTGTCATGGTTATGCATTATGCAGACATTTTTGACAGAACAAACATGGCTTGAAACCTTCATTTTGAGAGGGTGGAAATGAATGGATTACTTATGATTTGCAAGCCCCTCACTCTATCGTCTATATCAGGGCTACTCAACTTTGGAAGCCCCGGGGGCCACAATGATACTGCCGAGGGCTGCAACTTAAGTATGGTTGCATATACATGCAAATATATAAGCAAATAGTTTCTTTCACACTGACGGACATGAATACAAAGCACTTCCCGCAATGCCCTGGTGCTCCCGGCATCTCCTCCCTGGGGGCTAGAAACGCCGACACTCTGTATCCGACCATTCCAGAGAGTCCATCTGCTTGTCTCTTTCAATGCTCACCCCAGCTAGGAGACACCTCGCCATTGGGAGCATGTTCCCAGGGGAAGCCAGGTTCAAAGGATCCCACTCGCGGGCCATGTGTTGAGCCCCGCATAAGCCTAAACTGCACCAGGGGCCACAAACAAATGGGCCGTGGCCCACGGGCTGCGTGTTGAGTAGCCCTGCTCTATATCATTTATTTTTCTGTATGGTTCAGTGGGGAAAGCCCGAGGACTTTTTGTTCATCTGCATGGCAGCTGATCTTGTACCAGCTTATTGAGCCTTCCACTGATATGCCATGTAATTATTTAGTGGCTCTAGCTGCACTTTCTGTTTCCTGGCTCAGGGGCTGTTGTGTGTCCTCCCTATGGCTTTGTTAGTATTTTTCTGATTTCTCCCCTATGACATTCCCCTTCTTCTTTTCCTAGCCTGAATCTGGTGAAGGGTTGGACTCTGTGTGCTCTGCGATTCTGCTCTAGTTCACTGTCAATTATTCCTTTTTGTTTATAGTAATGCTTCATATCAGGCTTGATTGTCGTGGTGGCTGTGTCTTTCACACTTTTGCCTTCAAACACTAAATTTATTCCTAAACCTGGCTCTTTTTAAAAAATTTGCTTTATATAGTATTTTAAATCTGGAAGGATTTTTGGTGGGTGTGTTTATTGTTTAGCTGTTATGCAGCAGCTGTGCCCATGTATTGGGGATTATTGTTCAATTTTCTGTGAGAAACATGGATGTTTTTTCTTTTCTTCCTTTGTTTCAATCCTTGTACCTGCCTCTGGGCCATTCTTTCCCTCCCTGTCGGGCCTTTAATTCACACTCCTTGTTTGGTTCTTTTGTTATCTATTGTGTTGAGCAGAGATGTACATGTGTGAAAGTGCTTGTGGTTATATGGGCATTATCTTCTTCTAGCTAGATACTTATCAGAGGGGTAGTCGTGTTAGTCTGGATCTGCAAAAGCGACAAGGGGTCCTGTAGCACCTTATAGACTAACAGATTTATTGGAGCATAAGCTTTTGTGGGCAAAGACCCACTTTGTCAAATGACCTCCTGAGGTCTCTTCCAATCCTATGATTCTATTCTCCTAGGGAACGTCTACACAGCAACATTATTTTGAAATAAAGTAGTCCACGTCTACACAGCCAGCAATTATTTTGACATTATTTTGCAATACTGTCAAGCTGGAGAACTTCTTACTCCAGCTCCTGTAAACCTCATTGTACGAGGAGTAAGGGAAGTGGGAGGAAGAGTGCTCTATTTCAAAATAAGAGCCGTGTAGACCCAACCCTAGGCTGCAATGCATTTTCTGAGTTTCTCTCTCTCTCTTTTAAAAAAGTCATTTTGTAATGTCTGCAGGAGAGCATGACAGGCCTGCCAAGTGCAGAAATGTCAAGTGAGATGCATGATACTTGGCAGGTTTGCTCTCTACAAACAGATACAAAACTGGTGAAAAATAAACATAGAATTAGTAATAGAATGGCATTAACTTAGGAGGCTGCCTGGAATGCCACCCTTTCTCAATTGCCCAATCCAGTTGGGAAAACAGCAAATCAGTGGGAAGATACTAAAATGGGAGAGTGTACATAACCCAGGGCTTTGTTTATTCTTAGATTCTATCTTGGAAAACTGGACAAAAGTTCTGAAAAAACAAACAAGATTTAACCATCAAAATGTAAAAGGAGGGGGGAGTATAACAAGCAAATATAGAAAAAGAACTATGAAAGATGTGAGGCCATAAAGCAGGAGTGGGGAATCTTTTTTTGGGTTGGGGGCCACTGACCCACAGAAAAATCAGTCAGGGGGCTGCACAAGTAAGAAGCGGGGAAAAAAACCTTCACTGTGGCCCCTAACTGAGAAGAAGAAAGACACTCCCCACATTCCCCTCACAGAGCTGACAAAAAGCTGACATGAGATTGACAAAACTATAGGACTATTACCTATCAGGATCTCCACATGAAATAGGGGTGACACCTGGAAATTATCAGAAGTATAAACTCTTCATCGTTTAAGATGTTTTCTGTGTAATGCTTTTGCCCTAAAATAAATCTACTGTGCTTTGTGAAAGCTGGATGGTCACTAGTAAACTAGTCATTCACTCTGCGACAGAGTTAATTGCAGGTGAGGGACTCTTCTGGGATCAACATAGTGCATTGCTGGGGAATGGCAAACCTAGACTCCTGGTCTGAATGGAGAAGAACATAGGACCTGGTGATAGCTGGAGGCCTAAGATCTAAAGGAGTGCCTTTTCCCAGACCTGTAATGGACTGGGATGAAAGCAGTCTGGACTAGTGGTCAGAGCAGGAATCAGGTTTAGAAGGCAGAGCAGGCATCCAGCGTGGGGAACAAAGCAAAGGATCAGAGCCAGAGTCAGCCGACAATTACCAGAGCCAGGGGTCAAGTGTGGAATCAAAGCTGAGGCTCAGAACCAAAGTCAGATACTAAATTCTTGAGCCAAGAGTGAAGCTGGAGTCAGAAGTTGAAGGCCAGGGTCAAGCCAGGACTGATAACTGATGGTTGCAAGAGAGGCATAAGGGCAGGAACTAGAGGAGAGGCCAGGATCAATCACAGAGCAGGATCACAGTGGTAATAGGAACAGTGGAGAGCCAAGAGCACAGCAGGAACAGGGTTGGGTGAAGGAAACAGGGCCAATGCAGCAACAGCAGGAAATCACCTTGTTCCTCCAACTATTTCTTGTGCTTCCTTCTGGCTTAAATAGCATGGCTGGACCAATCAGTGGAGCTGGGCAATCCTCCAATCAGAGCTCCTGTAGGTGGTGCCTTGGCTGAGTGCTGCTAGTAGCTTGGCCCATGTCATTGGGTGGTTGTCAGCAGGTGGTGGCTGTCTAGGCGATGTTACAGAAGAAGCAGGTGACCTAGGAGCGGATGGAGTAAACAGAACTGCTTTATTGCCCACACATGTTTACCTCGGATGTTCAACACAACAGCTTCAGAGGGGTAGCTGAGTTAGTCTGTAACTAGAAAAACTTAAACAACGAATAGTCTAGTAGCACCATAAGACGAACAAAACATGTACCTGTTATTCAACACAACAGCTGAGTGGCAACCAATTGGCACCAATTACACCTTTTTATCTATTTTAGTATGTTAATTCACACGTCTATCACTACTTTTCCTAAAACCTTAATTAGTAGTATTAACTCCCATAAAAAGAATATTAATAAGCGGGTGATGAATATTATTATACCTGCCCCTAATTACTATTTACAGAATTTATGATTAAATCAACACTTTCCTATACTACAAACTTTCCAAATCATCAGGTTACAGAGATTACAAGAAAAGTAACCCAGAAATATTTAAACAGAGCCAGTGAGGGCAGATAAAAGACACAACAAAGAAAAGCAGCTGCATGCTTATCTATTTTTCTTCACTATCTCAGACCTCTATTCTTTTTTGCATATTCCAACATTCCTGTGTCAGGGTTATACTGCTTTGGTTCTGCACACTGCTGTAGGTACATTTTAGATCCATATGAGAAACCAAGAAAAAATAAATATAACACATTCACCCACACACAGTTACATTTCTTTTGTTTGGTTGGTGGTTCCTTGTGATTCCTTGTTCCCAAGGACATCTGAGTGCTTGCTTACAAGTGGCAAAGCATCCACTCAAAAAGGTGAGCAAGGAGATTATGTATTGATTTTCCAGAGCCAGAAATAAGAGAATGACTCTGGATATGGGCTCAAACCCTAGTTCTTTTTTTTTTATTTTAGGAAAAGACCCCTAGATCCATTGAACCTGGCCCTTGCTGCTGCCATTGGCACCTGATAGATAAGTTACACATATCTCTAAAAAGATCAGGGTGGAATGAGTTTAAGCTACAGCAAGCAGAGTCGGTTAAATAATTGGGGAAAACAAAATGGGCCAGATTCTGAAGTCAACAGAGTTTAATGAATTTACAATCAACTGAGTATCTGGCCTTTAAATCTAAGAACGATTTGTCAGTAGAAGTTGCCATGAGAGGTGGTGGAATCATCTCCATTGTGGCTATCATACAACCACATTTTGTTCCATGGCCTTGATTAAAAAAACTGTATCCTGAAATGCTCTTTAGAGTTAAGCAGTAATGAAGATAACACAGAGTGATGACTTGAAAGGCATATCAGAAGAGGGAGAAGAGACGCTGTCTCTGAAATCTGCAAACAGAGGAAGAGTCAGGAAAGAAAGGGAGGCTATCCCAGTCTGTGGGAGAGGCAGCCAGTGATGTGTTGGGATGAGCAAGGAAGAGAATAAGCTGGAGTAACAATTAACCTGAAAGTTATAAAAAGGAGATTCTTAATTAAATTGTGAAACTTTCATTTTCAATTCCTTTGAAATGCATTTCTAATTTTAGGAAAACCCTCTGAACATGAACTGAATGTAAACTGCACTTGTAGCAATAATGGCTTGCATCTGCAGAAACCTCATGTGGAGCTGCTTTAGGCTATCTTAATGGGGTAATGACTCCAAGGAAGAATGTAACCTACTTGTATGTTACAGGTCCCCCTCTGTGCAGAGGATAGGAGTCTGTTATATTTGCAAGAAAAGAGCTAAGAATGGGCAAATTAGTATTTACTCTTGAAATGCTGCAAGAACTCAAGTGAAAGCAAAAGAAATATTCAATTGCAGATAAAACGTACCTCCAACACCCAGGCACAGTGAGGTGTATCATTAATTACTTGCTTTAGGCTGCCTAGTGCTCAGAAGTCAGAGGAGATGCAATCACTTTCATGTGTGTCTGTTTTGGCAAAAGTATTGTTTTCTATCTAAATGTTAATGTTCCTCTAATATATTTGTCTTTGGTATTTGATTTTATTATCCAGAATTTATTTTACCAAGAACCCCCACTTCCACCCAAGATTAATTTCTCTTGTTTTTCTTGTTTAATAGTTTCGTGGAGACCACAATAGAAATAAGTATAGTACAATCTGGTACTAGCACTAGAATAAACCTTCCAGCAATGAATGATCCATATGGAAATGGTGACTATTAAACACTAGCACAAGAGGTATTCTCCACATGAGTTCTTTGAAATGTTCAACACTGAAATCACTGCAAGATGGCAGCTAATGAATTCCAGAGAAATGTCTGCTCCCAGAAATCAGCACTGCATTTCCACTTACCTTTTCCCTGCTTTGTAGTAGACAAGTTGGAGAGAGTTCACAGAACACCAACAAATTACTGTAATAGAGAGATGTAATGATCGACTTGTAGAAAAGAGTAAAAGAGCTAAATATGCACAAAATACTGAAGTATGGAGAAACAATGACTGAGGGCCTGTTTCTACAGTCCTCACACAAGAAAACTCCCTGTAACTTTAAAATGAGTATTGGCAGCAAATGATTTTGGGGTTTGATCCTAAGGGGGAATTGGATAACTGACTACAAGTACTTGAGGATATAAACACACTGGAGTGAGAGGAATTATTTTGATAGACTATCATTAGGAGAAGTGGGATGAAATTCAGAAACTTTCCTAACAGTTCTGAAACTTTCCAAAATAGTTCCAAAAACTTAAAATGTCCTACCTCCCAAAGGTGGTATACTTTGAATCCGTGAAATACAGAGATGCTAGTCTATGCGTAGTTAAGTTGAAGCTACATTTTTGCAATACACAGAAAAATCTGACACATTTGCTCACTTTTCTTTAGAAATCTGAGAAACTATTATTTTAAAAGTTCTTGTGCAATTTTTTCCTCCTCATCCCTTCAGCCTTGATCCTTGATTATCTAACACTCATATGGTGACATTTGCTTCTTGACACCTGCATAGTGTAAAACAATCTTTAAAACAGAGAGTGAGGAGTCATGGTTTATTGGTTAGAATGGTGGCGGGCAATCTGAGTTCTATGCCTTAGCCTTGCTTTATGATTTTAGGTAAAACCTCTCGTCCCTTGGTAAAACTGCATTACCCTTTTTCAGCAGTGGTCATATGTCCTAACACATTTGTGAATTCCTATTCTACCCACATTAAAAGAACACAAAGACTGAGTTGTTCAGATCATCACTACTTCCCCCACAAACATTCCTCTGTGCCCCCCAGTTTTCAAACATCTGTTCTAGAGCCACAGGTTTGATGTGGGACAGTCATGGCCCTGCCCCTCCCCTCAACCTTTAAATTGTGTTTCTTGCTATCAGCTGTGATGTGTTGCTTCTGCTTCTCTGGCTCACTTCAGCTAATAGGATGGGAGTATGCTAGTGAATAAGGAGGATGGGGTGACTTTTCTCTCTGTGATTCTGCTGACATTCACCTATGATCTGAGCAATTCACAGGACAACCAGGACAGTGGAGAGAAACAGAAAAAAAAGCAAGACAGAGGCAAGAACAGGGGAACTAACAGTTTCTATGACGACAAAATACACCAGCCTGTGGCATGACTTTGATCTGAGTGCATCATGGTAAATGGCAGTACAATAAGTCAAAGTGAAGAGCCTTCTCCTGATAATAGCAACACTAAGAAATTTCTGAACCAGCTGTGAAAGCATTTTTATTGCACATTATGATTTTAATTGTGTGTATGTGTAGGTGGCAGAAAATTGGATCTTTAAACTTTATAATCAAGGTGAGAGAAGGGAAAGTGTTTGAAAAACACTTGTCATCAAAATACTCACATCTATTACTAATTGTTTCTCAGGCCGTAATAGCAAAGCTTTCTAACTTCCGCCTACTAACTTCCTCCACAGTTCAGAGACTTCCTGAGTCACACTTATCTATGTATTTATTCATTTTGGTATAAACAGAGATAAAGGCCAAGGTGAAATAACTACTGCCTTGTCTTTGGTAGGATTTTACCTCGGGTTAGTTTACTATGTGTTCACTCCAGTTAAAAAGACATCATTTTTTCCTCAATGAAGACAAGGCCTAAGTTCTAGGGTTGCCAGATGGTTACAACAAAAATACCGGACACACTTGACATTACATCACAATCTACATTACATCTTTAGAAAATACCCAACATTTATATTTCCTCATTTACATTTTCTCAATTTGTTTCCCGAACAGAAAGCTCAAATACTGGACTGTCTGGTTCAAAACTGGACACCTGGCAACCCTACTAAGTTCTAGATTCACAAAAGTACTCTAGTGCCTAAATCCCAGTCTTAGGTATCTAAGACTGGGTATAGGTGTCTAAAGCTGGGGGTTAGGTATGAGAGTACTTCTGTGAATCTAGAACTTAGGCCTTGTCTTCACTGAGGAAAAGAAGATGTGTTCTTAACTGAAGTGAACACATAGTAAACTAACCTGACATAAAATCCTAGTTCTAGCATTCTGCTGGGATCCCCAAAACTCCTGCTGAGACCTGTTATTGCCTAATCTCACTTAGTGTCTATTTTTTTTTCAGTAAGAAGTGCCTAGATGCCTATGCTTCTGCCCCTGACCATGGGCACTGCTGCTTCCCTTTAGGAGTTCAGGTGTCTCTCTCAGGCATAAGTCCCGAATGCTTAAAAAACCAGAGAAGACAGACATTTGGTGGGGCAGGGGTTTGGGAGAAGAGGTGGAGTGGGAGTGGGGTCTTGACCAGAGGTAGGGAGTTTGAGTACCTCATAGCAATAAGATAAGTCAGTCAGAGTCAATGTAGCCAGGCATAGTTGGGAGTGATTTACATGCTGGAGAGTTTTTGTGAGCAAATCAGGTTCAGAGGCTACAGCAGCAAGGCAAGAGCTCAGATCAGCAGTAATTGAAGGTTGCAGATGACCCAACTAGATTAAATGAATTGTTGGGTTTAGTCTAATTCCTACTAGGGAAAAACACAAATCACACTAATTACCTTTATAACTGTCATAATTACTTTGGTAATCTCAGAAGACTCAGGTGGCTGGAGGTCTGTATGTGGGAAGTTAACACTTTTTACAGCCTAGCTATACCCATTCAAA